TGGGAGGGAGATGCAACCATAATGTGATATGAAAGTGCCATATATATACATACCAAAAAGTGAAAATACTAAAAAAAAAAAATGAACAAATCCGTATTTACCTCGGACATGAACAGAAAAAGACATTTTTTTTCTTTTCGAAAAATGAAATNTATATACATATATATGAAATTATAAACAGTGTATATGTAGGGGGCCTTTCATATCTCTTTAAGGGGGGACGGCGGGCCCCAAAGTATCACGCGACGCTCTCCTCGGGCCCCATCGGGGGAAGAAAAACCCCGGCAAGCCGACCGCAAGGCCCCGACGGTAATTCGGCTCCAGGAGGGCCCCTTTTTGCCGGGGCCCGAAAATAAGAGCGGACCCCTGTCCCCGAAGGAGAGATCTCTTCCGAACCGCGCCAAATTGCGGCTGCTGCGGGAAAATTTGCGGCCCGCGCGCTCGGGGGGCCCAAGAGATACGACGAGGGAAGGGACTTCTTTTACGTAAAGTTACGTAACAAAGAAAAAAAAAAATGATAATACAATACTTAAAGTGACACCGAAATTTCTCATGCGAAATTTTTCATGTGAAATTTTTCATGTGAAATTTCTCACGCGAAATTTTTCACGTGAAATTAGTCGTGTGAAATTTGTCATGCGATATTTTTCATGTGAATTTTTTCATGCGAAATTTTTCATGTGAAATTTGTCATGCGATTTTTCTCACGCGAAATTTGTCATGTGAAATTTCTCACGCGATATTTTTCATGTGAAATTTTTCATGTGAAATTTTTCATGCGATATTTCTCACGCGAAATTTTTCATGCGATATTTCTCACGCGAATGCTGTTCGCATGCGAAAAAATCCGCATGAACTCGAGAATCGGGCCCCAGAAGCCGATCGAGGAATTTCGGAGCCGTGAAGCAGGTGTCGTCTCGACGAATAGCTCCGATTATAACCTGTTTCGCATGCGGAACAGCCGTCGACGGTTTGCGGAAGAACCGGACCGGTTGGTCCGCCGACCCCTTGGGGTGGATGCACCGATAATGGCGCCGATAACGACGTGACGACTCGACCTATCGCTGCACTACTGACGAGAGACCGAAATCGACGCTTTTCCTTAATGTGGTATACACACAACAATAAGTGAAAATGTTTATACAATTTTTCTCCAATCTGGGTGCGCCGAATATCTGAAGAAGGCGCCTCCACTTTTAAATTTGAGTCAAATGTCTGCAAAACCATCCTAACATCCAAATTCCCGCGACCGACAACAAGGCGCCTCCACCACAAAGTTTGCCCCAACTGTTTACAGAACCGTCCTAACCTCCAAATGCACACATCATGGTTTAGAAAAGAAGAGATCCGCTCCCGGTCTTGCCAGGAAAATGCCCGTGGTCGATGACGAGACCTCCGACCAACAGCAAGGCGCCTCCAACAGGAGGAGCAGGTGTCGTCCGCCTGGACGGCTTCGACAACCTGTTTCTCCTGTCGGAATGACGTGGACCCCTGCCCCGGGTCTCGTCCCGGAGTCGTTGGCCGGATGAGATCGCCGGTTTGTTCCTCGAAGACGACGTCGAGGACGAAACTGGTCCAGAAGGTGTCGGACCGCTTCGACACCGCCAGGAAGAATGAAGACCCTCTCAACAATTCCCAGGACAGTTGTTGGTGACAGTTCCCAAGAAACTTGTTGGTAACAATCCCCAGGACAGTTGTTGGTAACAATCCCCAAGAAACGTGTTGGTAACAATCCCCAGGACAGTTGTTGGCAATAATTCCCCTGCGGAAATCATTCCTCTGGTTTCGGCTGCCGCCGGAAGCAGACCTCGTCCAGCTGGTCCAACTGGTTCCATGTCCAAGGGACACCGACAAGAAATGAACTCGTCACCCTGGATTTATTGACGCGTCTTGTTTCCATTTTTAGAATGACAAACGGCGCCGTCTAACAAATGAAAAGAAGACACTTCCTATCGAGCGTCAGGCGTTGGGCGACCACACTCATGGTTGGTAGCGAAAGGGTTAACAGATCATTTGTGTGGTCCAACTGCCCGACACAACACCGCCAATCAAAGGTATTGTTTTGTTCCGCAATTATGAACATAACAAATGAGAAGAAGATGCTTCCTACCAAGCGACTACACTCACAGTTGTCAGCGAAAGAGTTAACAGATCATTTGTGTGGTCCAACTGCCCGACAGAACACCGCCAATCGAAGGTATTGTTTTGTTCCGCAATTATGATTAATTGCCAGGAATTACCGAGAGGCAATCGAGCGTAGAGGCGTAAGTTCCATCATCTCGATCGTCTTCTGGGGGGGAAAGATCGCGCCCAACCTAACCTAACCTAACCTAACCTAACCTAGTCTTCCGGTCTGCCGATTTCGAAAGTGAGCCGGAACGGGATCGACTATCGATTCTGGATCCACGAGGATCGCCGATCGATCTAATCGGCCATTCATTATGCAACGGAGATCGCTCTCCTTCCTTTTCTCCACGTGGAGGAGAGGGGTCTCTCTCGCTCCTTCTGTCTCGCTCGGTCGGCTTTCATTATCGCGTAACGAGAAACAACGGGGCGTTGCATTGCCAGGCTCGTTATCCTAGCAAAGGTGTCAAGGACGATCGTGTAAACGGCTAAACCGTTCGTTAACCGTGTCGGATTCCCCGACACTTTTGCGGGGTATTGGTTATATACCATGTTACTCCAGTGTTATGTAATTCTAACATAGTGTGTTTGGTAGGTTTGTGTGTGGAAAAACGAATCCGGCTCTTGGTCGGGGTTCGTTAAGCCACAACGGAGTCGAGGAGAATCGGGTCGCAAAAGGAAGCGAAGATCGACTTACTTTCCTTGAACCTGGAGAAGTCCTTTGTTCCAAATGCGCTTGTTGATCCCCAGTCTAAGTTTGAAATCACATACTCACTCGCGACGGTAAAAAAAAATTAGCGAAACGGCGAGAGGTACGCCCAAGCGGGAGATGTGTCTCCTCCGACGGCGCGGGACACACTGTGACCTCTCCGCTCGAGTTACGCCTTAAGTCCGGGAAATTCGGCGGCAGATGGCGCGCGGGGAGGGGGCTACCGTTGCCATAGAAACGTAAACAACGGAACGCTTATTCTTGTTACAATATACATATAAAACTACTATCGTTTCGACATTTTACCATAGACACTTTTTTCCCCTTTATCCCGTTTAAATGCGAATTTCAAAAATCCAAACTTTGAATGTGTCAGGACAATTCTTAGATGATCAGGAGTGATGTGTCAAAGTTTCGGACAGTTTGGTCTAATACCCTTAAAGAAAAGTGTTGCGTTCGAATCCACTGGCTTGAAGGAGGTCTAACTTCGCCTTAAGGTGATATGAAAGTTTGTCTGAAAAATCCAAATTTCCAAAGTGTCAGGACAATTCCAAGGTGCTCACAAGCCACGTGTCAAAGTTTCTGACAGTTCCATCCAACGCCCTTAAAAAAGAAGTGTGTCATTCGGGTATACTGAATTCAGGGGTTTCACTTCCCCTTAAAGGCCTCCAGTGACAGTGACCGTGGAAGCCGCGATGGGATCGGGTATTCTCCTTTTTCTATCGAGTCATGAGCAGTGCGGACATCCTGTCCCTGGTAAGGACCGAGCGGGACCTTCTTGGAAGCGATAAAGCCTTAAGGGTCTCCGTATACGAGCACCGGTGCGCCAGGAAACGTGGCCGCATGCCTATAAGGCGTTATGACGCCAAAGAGAGGTTCCGCGTGCTTATTTGCATGCGCGTTAGTACAACAATGGTATCAGCCACGAGGCACGAGCTAGCCATGCATCTTTCCCGTACACCGAGGGTATATAGGTACACGAGCGACAAGACTTAACGGAAGACAAAGAGTCGGCTAGGTTCCCTCCGAGAGGCCACGCCATTTTCTCCCTAGTATAGGGAATATAACCAGAGATGAGTTGGGAGATTGCCCAGGGGCAGGGTCCTGCCTCCTGGTGGTGGTATCAGGCGGCTAACGGACTGCCACCTGATACCACTCAGTGGAGGCAAGACTCATCTCTGCCAGAAATTAGTTGTGTGTGTTTTTACTAAGGACCAAGTGCCATTGTCTTTCCGCCAACCATACGCGATGATCCTCCTTGATGGTCACCCATCGAAGAAGCCACCGCGTTCGACATTTTTGACAATGAGTTGTTGTGTGGTTTGTTTGGGTTTCGGTTCTTTTACTAAGGACCAAGTGCCATAGTTTTTTTGCCAACCATACGCGATGATCCTCCTTGATGGTCACCCATCTAAGGAGCGACCGCGTCCCACATTTTTGACAATGAGTTGTGTGGTTTGTTTGGGTTTCGGTCTTTTTACTAAGAGCCAAGTGCCATTGTCTTTTAGCTAACCACACGCGATGATCCTCCTTGATGGTCACCCATCGCAGAAGCGACCACATCCCACATTTTTGACAATGACAATTTAACAAAGTCAAAGGCTATCGGTTCTCAGGATGAAATATCGTAATCATTGACTTTAGAGTAAATGGTCCTTCGCAAATCGTTCTCCAAGATGGCCGCTCTTTTGCGGACTTCTCAGGCGGCAACGATGAAAGTAATAGCAAAAGACAATAGGTATCGATGACTCGAAAGAAAGAAGCACACAATGAGGCGTTGTCAACACCGGTACCTCAACCGGAGCGGCTGTTAATTAAATATAATTAACATCGATGGGAATCTCCGGGGCAAATAAGTGAATCACTTGTCGCCCACGGACAATGGAGAAATGAATGAACTTCACCCGAGGCGATTCACCTGGATCGATCGGAGATGCCGTTAATAATGGTTGCATCCACCTTCGGGAACAATGGCGACGCACTTGCGCAATAATCGGGCATTATTCGACAAATAAATTCAAACCGAGTATAAGTGATATCCACATGTTAATGGCACTTTCAATTCCTGCAAGAAATTTTTGGGAATTTTGAGAAAGTGGCAATGACAGTTGTACGGGTATAGACAATGCCCACGTGCTAGTGACATTTTCAATTCTTGACAACTAACCTCGTGCGCCTGGTCCTCGATGCTTCGCAATACGGCGAGGTTCCGAATGGTCGCTCTGCGCGACTCGAATGACGATTCTAACCTCGTAGCGGCATTTCCGACTTCCTCCACCAGTCGGCGCGCGCGTTCCACAGAGATCCTAGGAAAAGGGAAAAAGTTTCGGATAATTCGGCGCATCCAGTTTGGATATAAATTTTATCAACATTATCATTTTTTCTTATGTGTATGTCACACTTTCATATCACCTTAAGGGTATCACTTTTTCTCACCTGACGTGCTCGAGGTGGAGGAGCGTCGCGGCGCGGTCCTCGAGGGTGGCGATGGCCTCGTCGGCGTCTCTGGACGTTCTTCTCAACGTGGGGTCCTCCAGGAGTCGGTTGAGAGGAGTCAGAGTTCCCGAGAGGTTCGAGCACTCTTTTAGTTCGGACATTTCCAGGGCCAACCTGCGTCCTGCAGCCTGCCACTCTGTCATGAGGCCGTCGTACTCCTGCGGAGGGGAAAAAAAAAAAAGAAAATAGACAATTGCACATTTATCCCTCAGTCTGGAATCATAAGCTCGTTAAAAGTATCGAGGGAAAAAGAGAGACGTTTTTCCCTCGCGGAAGAGGTCGAACCACCTCCTGGACCTACGAGTGCGTAAGCACACGTTCGCCTCGTTCGGCTTTTTTACCCCTTTCATCGCGAGCCTAAGTTACAGGGGGGCCAGGACTCCCAGCAAAGTCCTTCATAATTTGTCGAGGGGGACTTGAAATTGCCATGCCGGGCCCCAGGGATCGTAAACCCGTAGACTCTATGGCTGGGGAAGGGCTTTTTGTTCGGGTGCCTCACCCTAAGCCTCGTTAGCGGTGTGTGGACTTGGTATCCAGTTTGAGGCACTAAATAAGTTTAACAAGATTATTGGGACGTTTCATTTTTCTGCTGGATGTGGCATTTTCTTCTACAAAGACCAGGGCTCTTCAAAAAGGCACAGAAATTCTGAGATCGGGGGAATTTGGATTTTTCAAAGCTTATGGGGTCCTCTGACGTTGGGAAATTTCGGAGCCTCGAAAACGTTGAAATGGCCATTTTCAAGAATTTTTTCTTGTAGGTTAGGTTACTCGCAGTGGGTTGCATTAATTTGAGGATGTAAATCGTGGAGAGTAGTTATGCTGAGAATTTTTTTGGACCGCTGGGGTTGGTCTTGATAGCTAGGAAAATTCGGAACTCCCAGAACCTCCCAGGACCTTGAAAACGATAAAGTGGCCATTTTCAAGATTTTTTTCTCATAGTTTAGGCTCCTCGCAGTGGGTTGCATTAATTTTCATAAGTAAATCACTGGGAGTACTTATGCTGAGAATTTTTTGGGAATTTCCTTCGCGAGAGACAATCTAGAAGTTGCTCAAACCTTGGGAATAATTTCCCTCGGACTAGAAATTGCTTCGAATTGTTGAGGTAGGTCGAGTTCCGAAACCAGAAAATTAGGTTAGCCCACGAGGTACGATCAGTTGCAAGGAACAATCCTGACCTATCGCAACGTCCCTCTTACACAGGAATCTCGATCAGCTGATTGCCCTTCCTCTTTCGCAAGCAAACTCCCCGCGACACGTGCTGCGCTTAAGGGCCATATTCCCACGACCGCTCCTCCGAATATAGTCCTTATAGCGGAGGTGACATATGACGGCTTGCCTCACGATCGCGTAATTAGTTCCCCCATAAGAGTGGCTATCTGTTCGTGCCTTCCAGCCATTCGGTCGATCTGAATTGAGACGCCCTATTCGACCAGATAATCAGGGGAATGGCATTCCGTATAATTCCGAGCGGCTAGTTTAGTGCTCTCTCTCTTTCTCTAGAGTGGCGCGCATGCGCGGCTTTACGATCTAGGCTCCATCTAATCCGAAGTAGCCTCGGGACCTTCTCTTCTCGTCGATCGGCCAATAGGGCGGATCCGTCAAATTAAGATGTCCTCTCGTCTATGGGACGATAACGACGACCGGCCGATATTTTTCCCATAAGCGAGATATATCGCATCTCGCTTGGGAAAAGACGCGTTTCGATTTTTCCGGGTTAACCTTAAAGTTGTCCCGTGTATATCAAAACGTCAAAATATTGATATCATTTTTCTCTAAACTTCAAATTTCATAATTCTACAGATGATTATGCAGGCCCCGAGGAAGATCGTGATGCTCATTTTCCAAGGAAATTCATTTCCCTTTTACGATGAAATTCATTTCATTTTTCGATGAAATTCATTTTATTTTATGGAATTTATTTCGTTTTATGGAATTCATTTTCATTTTATGGAATTCATTTCATTTTATGGAATTCATTTCATTTTATGGAATTCATTTCATTTCATGGAATTCATTTCATTTCATGGAATTCATTTCATTTTATGAAAATCGTTTCATTTTTTATTGAATTTCACGACATTTCATCACAGTGGCGGCGCTCTAAAATCGTCCTAAAAGTCGATGCCGCCACAGTGGCGGCAAAACGTCATTAATCCCTGAAATAGTGTATAAAAAAATTTGTTTCGCGACATGTCGATCGTCACGTGGTAAATTCCCTCCCACAATATAAATTTGCCGACAGCAAAAGGGATAATCTCGAAAGGTTACAAGAGAGCCACTTTGCGATCCGATCGCGGTTGCGAACTTTTCCTAGCCCGCGGATAATTTCCGTCGATCGGCCGCAAGGGCGGAATCCATGAAATTAAGACGTCCATTCGCGTAAGGAAACGACCCGCCTCGCAAATCTATCCTAAGCCTATCAGAGTCTATCAGAGCCTATCAGAGCCTGTCAGAATCCACCTTTAAAGTTCCCATACATTAACCGGATGTTTTCCGGATTTTCCCCTAGGGCTGTGCGGAGAAAACGTTCCGCAACGGAGCCTCACACGCCGTGCGGTCCACGGGAATGATACTCTCGGGATGGAAGGCTCGAATTACACATTTTTACAGGAATTGATCCCGGAGGATCCACCGGGAGTATCCGACAAGGTGGAGGAATTTTCCCTATACGTCTTCCTGCACTTTCCCGGGACCTCTTACGAATTTCCATTCGCTTTTCGTGGGAATAAAGGGAGTTACTCACTTTGTAGAATGCGATCCAGTGGACGTGGTCGTGGGGTTGGTCACTTCCGGGGATGTGCTGGTCAAGATCGCCATCCTCCACGATGATGGGCTGGAAGAACAATAAAAACCAATTTTTTTCTTTTTTTCTTCTCAGTGAATTTTCTTGAAGCGCCTTTCATATCCTCTTAACCCATTGCGGTGACGACGCAGTGACATTCGCCTTAAGGTGGTATGAAAGTTTGTCTCAGAGTCCAAATTTTCAATGTGTCAGGACAATTCTTAGATGATCAGGAGTGATGTGTCAAAGTTTCGGACAGTTTGGTCTAATACCCTTAAAAAAAAGTGTTGTATTCGAATCGACTGATTTGAAGGGGGTTTCACTTCACCTTGTAACGATAGAACTCGAGGACGTGAGTTAAAACATTGGAACTAGACCGGAAATTCGGCTCGTGTCGTCTCTTGTCGGTATTAATTCCGGACATGCGAAATCGCGCCTATAGTGATTCGAGGTCTCGTCCTGCGAATCGAGTTGAGACTGTAGGCGGGTTTCTTCCCTTCCTACAACTCTGCCTTGCTCTATTTTCCTGGGCCTCTTATAGTACCAGGGAGGTTGCGCGCTTGCGAGAAAGCGCGGGCCGCGGGTTGCCGCGCTTGCGGGGCCGGCCGTAGCGCTGTGCGAGTCGGGTGGCGCGGCATTAGGCGCCCTGGTACGAGGCACACGGCTCGTTACAACCTTAAGCCAAGCCAGGAGGTTAGGAACGGTCCCATGCGATTGTGGGAGAGCGGGGCCCTAAGGAGCGATGCTTTACGAGCGATTCGCTAGCGAATGAAACCTGGAGGCTCGGAAAGGCAATCCCGTTGAATTAGCCTGGGGCTAAGTATGAAATTGCAGTTTACTGCCGTTACAATCGCGCGGAGCCACAACAAGCCCCCGGACTTTCCGCGTTGGAAACGCACGCGGAATGTCCCCGTGCGGAAACAATAACCGCCGAGCGGAAACGGCCGAGACCGCTCGTGCGCGCGCATCGACGTCCTTAACAATGGACGCCTTTGCGCGATTGTTGCGCCCTCTCGGCACAGCTTCCAATTTCTTTTTCGATATCAAAAGGATAATGGACCTGTTGGAATGACTTGGAGTGGTCGATAATCGAATGGGCCCTTTTTCATTGGGAATTTTTTGCCACCTTGTTCATCGGCGACGAAGGATGTAGGGTGATATGAAAGAGTCTTTCTACGTATAGGAGACGTATATGGAATGTCTATGAAACTTTTTACGGCTTTCGTTTATTAGGTAGATTGGCGATATACGTTCGCTATACCTATAGACGTAATTTAGAGGATTAATTTACGTATATTTCACTTCATGGGTTATTTCATTTCATTATCATTTACATATATTGACGTTTTGTATACGTAGAATAATTCTTTCATATACGTAGAATAACCCTTTCATATCTCCTTAATGATTTCATTCTTACCTTAATTTGACTCCTTGGGAAAAGTTGATCTGTCGACGCTTCCGGCATGGGATTTCGCAGGAGCAGGATCTGGGTTATCCTTACGCGACCCTGTAAAAATAATTTATTTATTAACGGCATTCGGAATAATTATAATTCCAACTAATGTTAATAAAAGTTAAGCATACCTGGAGGAGCACCATAACCTTGTCCAACGTCTCCAGGTCTTCGGGGGATTCTCCGTGGACCAATAGGGTAAATCCTCCTTTGGTACGTTCCAGGCTGTAACAAATCGAAAGGACCTCATGAAATTTCATTAAAAAAGAAAGAAAAAAAAATGAAAATGTATTAAAAATGAAATTTCACGAGCAGCGCGTCCTTCGTTAGAGCCTCCATAATCACGGGTTAAAGTTTCAGACAATTCGGTGCACCCAGTTTGGAGAAAAGTATTATAAATCTGTTGACTTTCGTATCACCTTAAGGGTCGACATTCGAGGACACCAAAATGGCCGCCGTGGGTATGTCGCCGGGTGGTTTTATGGTTTTAGAGAGTGTGCAAACGCGGTTTAAAATGGCAAATGGCGTTAGCTGGCTCGAGGTCGCCGTTTACGGTGGCTAGAAGTCGCAAAGTGTCTTCGCCGTCGGTAGGGAAGTTGTCCTTCGCGGCTTTCTTCGGCGACGCATTGTTCCCCGTTAATTGGGTTGGAGGCGCTGGTGTCGCGCTTTCCCAACACGTGACCCCGGGGCAGAATGGCCGCGACCTAACCTCACTCTCGGAATGGGCGACCCAAGAGACAAATATGGACCCTCCGCCAGGTTTAAGGCGAAGTGAAACGACATTTGGGGTATGTCGTTTAATACAATACCCGATGTTATCAGTATATACTGATATAAGTTGAATGAACCTTTCATATCACCTTAACCACGTGGCTACTAAGAGCGCATAAGGGCGAATTTTGCCTGCACGGTCGGGGGAATTTCGCCCGTATGTCGAAATGGCTCCGTGTTCAAAGGGTTAAGGTGATATGAAATGGTCATTCTATATAAATTAAACGTAAAAGTATTGATAAGACTTTCGTACCTTGGTAAACGGCAGAGGTAGAGGAGATACGACGCCATCTCGCGGACGGTCGGGCTCTTCCGGTCGGAAGTGTTGCACCGGAAGTCGAGGATTTCCCTGCCGGAGCTATCGACTCGCCCTGAAAGCAAATACGTATATTTTTCTTAAAAAAGTTCTTCTTAAAAAAGGTATATTCGGTTCTGCGAGAAGTTTCATGAACGATCGGAAATTTATATATAACTATTTCATAAATCTTGTATAAGAAATGAAATTTCATGAGTGTCGGGACCTTCTTTATGAACTCCAGATTCACCTTGTAAAATTTGGAACGATTCGGTGTACCCATTTCAGGGAAAAGTTTCATCGGCCCCTGAGATACCTCTTGACATAACCTCAAAAGTCTAATAGTTCTCACGAATCAATTTTTTGGGTCCCTTAAGGCATTTTTTCTAAGTCCGGATTTTGAAAATGAGCCTTTGACTATTTTTTGGAAATTATGGGAAACCGTGGAGGCTTATCATTCCGAGTTGATAAGAAAGCAGGACGGCCTCGGCATGGCCGATCGATTATGTCGGCGACGATCGCGATCTCATCGGCTCGAGGACATTAATCCGCGAAGCTTATCGGCCGGCACTTTCTTCGGAGGCGAGACACTTAAATGCGATATCGCCACTTGGACCTAGGAGGAAAGTAAAGTGATTTTGAGCGGCCATGCAAATGGCAGGCTTCGGGGTTTACGATATAGGAAAGTTGCTTCCTGTGTTGTCGAGTGGTCGACGGGTCCACGGGACCGTAAATTCCGCCGACGGTTTCCGCCTCGGTCGATTCGACTCGCGACCGAGTTCTTTAGGCCGCCTCGAAATTGAAAGTTTATATCGAGGCGGCCATTGTTGCGACCGAACGGCGATTTCGAGGCGGGATGCAAATGGCGGCCCGTCGGGTTTACGAGGGAGGAAAGTTCCGAGCGATCGACTCTCGCTGATGGACACGCGAGTTAACTCGCTCCCGAACTCCTGGCTCGATGCTGCGGGAAAATAAAGGAGGCGGTTGCTTCTTTTCCTTTTTTCTCTCTCCACCTGCTGCGTTTTTCTCCCAACGTTGCGAAACACGCATCGAAGATACCGCGGGGGAAAGTGGGGCCTGGAACGAAACTCCACTTTCCCCGATCAAGGCTTCGATATCCCTTTTCCAGGAATTTTATCCAGGGAAAAAGTGATCCTCTTTACAGGATGAAGGAGCTTCACTTGGAAGACTTTTTCGAAAGAGCGGTATCTAAGGAGATCGTTCCAGGAATTTAATGCATGGTTCCATCCTCTTTCCAGGAATTTAATGCATGGTTTCATCCCCTTTTCAGAAATTTTATCCAGGGAAAAAGTGCTCCTCTTTCCAGGATGAAGGATCTTCACTTGGAAGACATTCCCGAAAAATCAGTACCCTCGGAGATAATTCCAGGAATCGAAAGCGTGTCTTTGGTGTCCCTTTTCCAGTAATTTTGTGGAGGGAAAAAAGTGCTCGAAATATCAGTACCTTTGGAAACAGTCCCTAAAATTGTCGAGTACCGCATGATCGGGTTAGGGTTCCCTTTTCCATTCCCGTCAGAGCAACTTCGTTACCCGAGAATCGAAAGGAAGCTGGGGCTGCTCCTATCGTCCTTCTCGAACACCGTAAGTCGATTCAGAAACATCCCGAGGGGATCGTCGACGCGATTAGGATGCAGTAGATCGCGGAATTCCGCGTCGGCCGTCGGATTCCTGGGACTAACGTTGCATTCCGACATTACTCATTGCCAAGGGGCTCGCCGTCGTTTCCCGGTGTTTCTATAAATCGATACCCACTCGATAACGGTTCAATACAGTCGATGAGTCGACGATTGTAGACCTATCGACCATATCGCGGTCTTATCTTGTATAGATTAAGGAGAATACGCATTCGGGATTCCTGCCATACCTAGGTACACACATCCAAAGTGCACTCCATTATCCAAGTGCATACATTTTGTTGTGTGGTAGGTTCTTTAGCCCCATTAGAAGAGCTTCAATGAAAGAAAGAAGTCTTCTTTTTTTTTTTAATCCCTGTGGTAGATGTTAAATCAAGGCCGGAGGAAAAAGCCCGGAATCTCGTGGCTGCTACTCGGGTAGAACCCGCGAGAAAGATGAACGATTGGCGGATAGACACGTCGTTGCATACCATTAAAACGTTCCAGGTAGATTTATCGGCTGGAGGCCATTGGTGCCGTAAATCCGCGATTTCTAATTACACGCTCGTCGTCTCGGCTGCCAGCGTCCGCTTGGTATTAACCTCTTCAGGGACACCAGGCGTGCGTGCTCGTCTCGGTTTCTTTCCCAATAAGATTCTAACATTTCCGACGTTTCCAAAAAACGACCCAAGGACAGGGATGAGCAAATGCGAGATCAAGACCAAGACAACAGAAGCTTGGGTCTTGGTCTTGGAGGTTAGAGTCTGGGTCCAGCAATTGTGGGCAGGTGTTGGTCACCTAAAACAACATTTCCGACGTTTCCGAAGAACGACCCAAAGACAGGGATGAGCAAATGCGAGGTCAAGATCAAGACAACAACAGCTTGGGTCTTGGTCCAGCAATTTTGGGCAGGTGTTGGTCACCCAAAACATTTCCGACGTTTCCGAAAAACGACCCAAAGAGGGATGAGCAAATACGAGATCAAGACCAAGACAACAACAGCTTGGGTCTTGGTCTTGTAGCTTCAAGTCTTGGTTCAACAATTACGGTGAGGTGTTGGTCACCCAAAACGTGGGATTAGCTGATCACTGTGAGTTTTCCGGGTTTATCAATCGCGATTAGCAAATGGGTCAGCAAGGGAGATCGCAGATAGTTAGCTCGCATTAGGTAAACGGGTTGTCAGCAATTTCCAGGCCATCGACGTAGATCGAAGCCAGGAGATCGAAGGTGGAGTGTCTGGGGTTAAAAGAGTCCCTTGGAAAAACGTCACCTCGATTAACCCCGAATCTTTGACCCGGCTCTGCCCGCTGAGTTCTGCAACGGTTTGTTCCAGGTTCCCGGTTCCAGGTGTTCACCTGCAACGGGAACTCCTCTGACCCAGCCCTCCCCCGGGACCCATAAGTTATGCACCAGAGCGTATTCCGACGTTAAGATGACGTTAATTGCCGCACTCGCTATCTTTCGATCGCGCAAGTGCTCGATACCGAATCGAGGATCGGTCAGGTTTACGAGAGGACAGGAACTTCGGAGGTCGTTCCATCCTCCCAAAGCCATCCTCCCTTTCCTCCCACCGCCATAAATTGGTCATCCATCCCCGTTATTCCTGACGAACTACAAAAAACCAAGGAAGGTGGGGCACCCTATCCGACAACCCATCCTAAGAGCTCCACCTCTTGGGGTAAGGTTCCCTAAATTGGACCATGTATCTAAAAACATGTTTCGCATATTAAAGGTGATTCCTAACCAACCAAAATTCCAGTCATTTGTCCTGGTTATTGGGAATTGAAAGAAAAATCACTTTTCGGATGTGGGAATTTGGCTTGAAGCGCATCTACCTCGAGGTTCATTTACCACAGTCGTTAAGACGCACTTGCCGAATGTTCAGCTCGTGGAAGATCGAATATGGCGACCACTAATTGAGCCATTAACCGAATCCCTTGAAATTGCGACTTTCCTCCGCTCTTGGAAAGTCGAGAAAGTCCTGGGGAGCACTTTCGCTCTGATTCCGATTTCGGCTCCCTGGACACCCTGATCGAGATGAAGTCCCTTGTTGCTTATTAAAAAAAAAAAAATTGCAGACCGCAGCAATTTCATGCCTCACGCGACCCATGGGAAGGGTTAAGGTGTCATGAAAGTGTCATATAAAAATTAGAAGATTAATGGAACCCCCCTAATCACGTGTTAACGTTTCAAATTATTCGGTGCACTTGGGGAAATGTTTTTTAATATTTTCACGGCTTGATATATATGTAGATTGACCCTTTCATATCGCCTTAACGGAACCGGGAAGAATCGTTCGACCACTAATTGGCCCATTAAACGCATCCCTTTGAGGTCGTGACTTTATTTCATTTCGATGGCGAGAAAGGCGCGGGCCACTTTCGATTCGATTCCGATTCGATTTCGGACGGAAATTTGACGATGAAATCGCGCGCACGTACGCGACCTAGATGCGATCGCGATTACTTAAAAAAAAAGAGAGAGAGTAACAACTCATTTTTAACCATTTCCTTTTTTTCCCGTATGTCCAACGCTAAATTGAAAATTATTACGCGAGCGGCCGCGGTGTGGCGCCGATTAAGCTTCGCGCTCCCGAAAGCGAGGGGGACCGCGAAGGGTATATAAGGGCGCCTGAATGGTAGGCAACACAGAAGGTAGAGAGATGTCATCGAATGCACTAGTAAATGAAATAAAAGCCAATAAGGCTTCAGGACGAGACTTCAGCTCCAGAAAGTCGTAAGTAAAGCCAAGATGTATAAGCGAGACAAGGCTTGATAGGAATTAGGTTAGGTTTAGAGACGCGCTCGATATATGGAGTAGCAATCGTATTACTTACATATGTCAACGCCCTCCGAATGAGGGGGGTTGACTTTTGACCAAGACCATGGATCATTTTTCTGGGCACAATTGTGGCAGAGACGATCCAGAACGAGTAGGAAGGTGGAGGGTTCGTGCGTGTCTAACGCGCCCGGACCAATCGAGTCAGGCCGATGACCATAATCACGGGCGCAGGTACCGTACGTGACGGCGTGTATGATTATACTTGCGGGCACCAGAGGGCGCGAGGGGCCTCAATAACGCGACGATGCAATGTGTCGATACTTGCGCGCCTCTCGCGTTCCCGTTGCTCCGCGGCGAGCGCCCCCGTCGGGAGAGTCTCACGCCCCCGCCTAACCGGAGACCCATTACTGTTATAGTCTTATAGTCGTAAGTCGTATAGTTGGCCGGGCGACGCGCGCGCCTCTCGCGGCGCACACGCGCGCCGCGGCTCATTAGGCCCGCGCCACTCGAAGAGGAAGGACCCTATCGCCAGGAGATTCGACCAATAGGTAACTCTGACATAAAAAAAAACACGTGTCTCTTAGATTTTTGTGTTCTTCAACATGTATGAAACTCAATAAGATCGGAGGCGGACACTTGGGAATGTTCCCTTGTTAGTGACTTTCACAATTTCATTTGGCAATGGAAAAAGTCCCTTATTATGGAGCCTCCTAACGGTACTTGCTCGTTAATACTACGATTTAGGGCGCAAAACCGGCGGAGAGATTCGAGGTTAGGTTTCGGCTTATGGGTGGTCCATCATCCCTCGGGTTCGAGCTGGGTTCGGCTCGTAAAGTCCTCGGAAACGTCGGAAGAGACCCGGCGAACGAGTGTCGGGGGTCAGAGTGGCTATGGCGGCGCTAAACCTCCACCGGAACGTGGCGCGGATAATTTATGACAGAGTCATTTTTTCCCGGGCGAACGTCAAGTTTGCGCGAGGACGACGGCCGCTTCGTGATCGTCGAGGGTCGCGACAGAAAATGGACATAACGTATTCACAATAGGGATTTTAATGCGAGGCACCAACCGGTACCGGGAGAACTGACCCAACTGTGGTTGTTAAGTAAAAACCTCGGTTAGTAAGTAAGTCGCAGGTAGTACTTATGCTGAGAATTTTTTGGGACCGCTGGTGTTGGCCTGGACAGCCACAAAAATTCAGAGACCCCAAAACCTCCCAGGACCTCGAAAGCGTTAGAATGACCATCTTCAAGATTTTTTCCCCATAGCTTAGGTTCCTCGCAGTGGTTTGTATTAATTTGCGGAAGTAAGTCGCAGGTAGTACTTATGCTGAGAATTTTTTGGGATCGCTGGTGTTGGCCTGGACAGCCAGAAAAATTCAGAGACCCCAAAACCTCCCAGAACCTCGAAAACGTTAGAATAACCATGTTCAAGAATTGTTGCACACTCGGTGTCGGGTGATAGGAAAGGAGTAAAGGAGATTCCCTCGAGGAAGGGGCCGCGTAAACAGATGGCAAGCACGGGGAACCCAGCACGCGTGGGCGTGTGAACCTTGCGTAAAGCTCCCTGGACACGAGTGGGTGTGCCCCTGGTCCCGGCTTCCGCATACTCTTCCGCGGTCCCAGCGTTATCCATTTGCTAGGCGGCTACTAAGTTGCCACGTATCACTTAGGGGAGTTAGGTTAGGTTAGGTAAGTCGGAGGTACCTCCGCATAAATAACATTAGCGGGCTCGGGCAGCCTCCTCCATCATCCGTCCGTACGGAGCGGATGGTCCTGTTTCGCACGCTTAAGGTGATACGAAAGTGGCGGCAAACCTGTCTCGTTCCTGAACCTTTTCCGGCATTACAACGTGAATTTCGAAGCTATAAGGGATGTCCTGGCTCTCGTTTCTTTCTAAAGGATCTCCTAAATATCAATATGGGAACTCCATCCGACCTACTGGTACTTTAACATCACCTTGACGAAAATTTGGTCCTTTACGTCTACGGACTCTATGGGCGAACCAACGCAAACCCTATCTATCTGACCAAACATTTTTCTGCGGGCACGACTCCCCGGGGTACCTCGTCCCCGTCGCTATCTGCGCACGTAGGAGCGAGCGTGTGGGTAAGGACGTACCTCCGGGCTGCGGATACTACCAACGTATCTATTTACTCGGGACAATCTTGTTGCGAGCGAGCTTTCACGCTCGTCCATGCCTCGGCAGAGTATTGGCTCGATTCTCACGGGAGGCGCGCTTCTAACTGCGAGCAGTGCCCTCGGACCGAGGGTGGGGAACCTGCCGAGGCGCATCTTCCTTTTTTACTAGGTCTATGCCGAGGCGCGTGCACGCCCCGAGAGAAAAATCCAGTTAACCCTAGGACTAGGGATTTTTTTTCCCGGTGGTGGTGCATCTATCATGAAACCACACATTTTTACTGGGCTTGGTAGTTCTAGGGTTGCATAGGTTATGTGGACCACGTGGCTTGTTTTCTGTATGGATGTGTGGGTGCACACGTGGTCGCTTGGTTATGTTACCCATACATGGATAGATGCACATGCAGTCGCTTAATTAGAATAGGTGCAAACTCACCAGGAAGCGTCAGGCCGCAGGTGAGGACGTGCTCGGGGAACTCGTCGATGGTGCGCGGAGCGGCGATGTCCTCTAACCTCTTCTTGCCTGAAAAGTAAGGAGAAATGTCCTCGTTTAGGGAATCTTTTAAGGCGATACGAAAGGATCATTCCGTATATACCGAAAACTATTCAAACTATTCGCGCCGAGTAATTAAAAACATTAAGGAGGTCCCAATGAAGGTCCTGGAACTCGGGAGATTTAATTTTGTGGTCCAAGAGAAATGCAGCAATTTTCTTTTATAGGCTAGATCCTTGGAGCAGGATGCGCGGGAGGTAGTCGCCCTCAAAGGGGCGATGATTGCGGAAAGAGGGCCCTCAGGGGCACTATAAGACTGGGGGTTTTTCTTCCACCTTAGTTGGTGCTTTCCGACACGATCCTCCTACAGGGTGTAATCTTCTCGATCCCGGGCCTGGGAATGTGTGACTTCCAGGGTGATTTTCTGACATAGACCGGCCCTCCTCCTTTTCATACTCCGTCCGGCTGTGATTTTCGCGGGAATCGAGAAAACTCGCACGAGCGGTGCTCCGATTCATCGCCACGCGAGAGCGATTCGCATCGGTGGTTCGCCGGTCGTGAGAAAGGACTCTCTGATCAGATATGAAATAGGTTCAATCGTGGAGTTGGGTTTATCCGCGTGGTTCACATCGCTTATTATATCGCGAGAACACGTGATTCCGGAAATCGGAAATCTTTCGAGGACGCTTGCGTCCTCGTCGATGGTGATGGAGGACGGTGTCATTGTACCCAACCCCTTTTCCGGAACGATCAATCATTTCTATTAATGAACCCCCGGACAGCCGAGTCGCTGGATCGTTCCGGATCACGAGATCGGCAATTAGGGGAATCGTCATCCCCTCGTTCCGTTAACTTGGCGTTCATCAGCTGGTGAACGATTACACGCCCGATACTCTAACGAGGATCTAGATAGAAACCTTTCCCGTTGCTCCAGTCGTGCCGCGGACCCGAAAAGGGAAGAGGCGCGCGCCAAGTATCGATGCATCGATTGTATCGATTACCCCGATCATATCGACCGCTCGCAAATGAACGTACACGAATTCGTCGGGCGGGCGAGTGGGTGGGAGTCCTAATCGTGTCCCCATCGCGTTTCGAGCCGTGAATGCACGCTCACGGGTCGGTGGAGTATCTCCCACTAATAAGAACTCGGTGCCGATGCATTAGCATAAATTAATTCCCGTCTGAGGGTCGATTGAGACGTCCGATGGCATCGCGGCGTGTGTGTTTGGCGCGAAACTCTACCGAGAGCGCTGAAGGAAAAAAAAAGGCATCCGCACTTTTAGTAAAGGACAATTATATGCGTTAGCATAAATTAATTCCTGTGTCAGGATCGATTGAGACGTCCGGTGGCATCGCGGCGTGTGTGTTTGGCGCGAAACTCTACCGAGAGCGCTGAAGGAAAAAAAAAGGCATCCGCACTTTTAGTAAAGGACAATTATATGCCTTAGAATAAATTAATTCCCATCTCAGAGTCGATTGAGACGTCCGATGGCATCGCGACGAGGGCACTTGGCGCGAAGCTCTACCGAGAGCGTATTTTTTTTTACAGATAATTTCGAGATTTTTGTACAACAAATGAAATTTCACGAGGTGTCGCGACCTTCCTTGTACCCTCCACATTCATGTTGTAAAATTTCAAGCGGTATGATGGATTCAGTTCGGAGAAAAGTGTTTCGTGAACGATTCACTCCTCAGATGGCACATTCATATCGCCTTAAGGTTATGCAAAGCGACGAGGGGGATCCTTTCCCGAAATTCGACACTCGCTTTCTACTTTCGCCCGCGGTCTCAGGGTTTTCATTCCTGGGTCCTTTCTGCCCCGGCATGGAAACGCTCCTGCGGGATTCGACGCGCCATTAGAAACCGCCTTGAAGGCGTGATAATTAATGCGTCTGCACTCCCCGGCCGTAAGTCATCGCGATGACTCCCGACTTGCACGCCATCGTCCACTTAGGGCTAGGGTTACGGCGCGTCCTCCTTCCCGAGTTCCTGCGGAAAAAGTTACGTTCCGCTGCGGAAGCCCCGTTACCGGTCCACCTTAAGGTGATATGAAAGTGTGATATTATGCATTAGGAAAAGGGAAAATGTTTATACAACTTTTCGCAAAACTGGGTGCATCGAATTATCTCAAACTTTAAAACACACACACACACACACAAATGTGGAAATATACGACTTTTCGCAAAACTGGGTGCACCGAATTACCTCAAACTTTAAAACACACACACACAAATGTGAAGATATACAACTTTTCGCAAAACTGGGCGCACTGAATTATCTTAAACTTTAAAACACACACACAAATGTGAAGATATACAACTTTTCGCAAAACTGGGCGCACCGAATTACCTCAAACTTTAAAACACACACACCGTGAGAGTTTCGCCGTGGTTCCAGATCTTCCGCTCGGTGCCCTACGCTGCCCACACGCGTGAACTCTCGCGTCACTGCCCACGTGCGAATCGCGAGCAATAAAGAGATTCAGCTTAATAAATTATGCCGAAGGCTCGGTCGAGGAAGGGTGGCCAGAACATTAAGAAATCGGCGAGATAAAATCCCGTTGTCGATAACTCCAATCCCAAAATGGCGGGTTCGCGGTACAAACTGCCCACCACCAAGACTGGGTAAATAAAAGCCTAGACCGTTTTTTAATGGTTCGCTTCTGTTGCCATTATTCCTTATTCTTTTTTACATTATTCCCAAGTGACGTGTACTTTAACGAGTTTTAAAAAAGTGAGGTCGCAGTGCCGGTACACTGGGAGACATCAATGCCCTCCCATCCTGCACAGGCGATGTCGTACCTGCAGGGGAGGCATTCATGTCCACAATATACACTGGGAGACATCAATGCCCTCCCATCCTGCACAGGCGATGTCGTGTCTCTAGGGGAGGCATTCATTTCCGCCATTGCTGAGAGACATCAATGCCCTCCCATCCTGCACAGGCGATGTCATATCTGCAGGGGAGGCATTCATTTCCGCCATTGCTGAGAGACATCAATGCCCTCCCATCCTGCACAGGCGATGTCGTGTCTGCAGGGGAGGCATTCATGTCCGCCATGGTACCTTGGTCGTGTCATTTATTAAAAGAGTGAAGTTTCCGGTGGTTTGAAAATCCAGGCGATCGGGTACCAAAATGGCGGAGGAGCCCACGCGAGTCTTCGGTCAGGGCCGCTCCCCTTCGGGATGCACATTTCCCATGGGATTGCTCTTGTTCGCCGCCTTCTTAACCGGACAGGAGGGGTCATCACACCTGGTCGAGTGCAGGCCCACGTGTCACCTGGCCTGGTAGGGCCCCTCTTCCTTCTTCCTGCTTCTGGGCCCACTTGGTAGAGTCCTCGCCATAACCATTAAGGGGATGTGAAAGTGCCATCCGAAGAATCAATCCTTCATGAATCTCTTCCCCGACCTGGATGTACCGAATCGTTTGAAAATTTCCAAACTAATCATAAAGGCAATAAGGAAGGTCTTGGCCCTCATGGGATTTCATTTTTTATAACAAATCCTTTAAATACCCATGAAGAAATTTTTATCAAATTGAAATTTCATGAGTTTCGGGACCTTCCTCAAGGCCTCCACATTCACCTTGTGAGGTTTGAAACGATTCGCTACACTCAGCTCGGAGAAATGCTACATGAGCGATTGACTTCTCATATCCCACTTTCGGATCCCCTTAATGCCTGCACCCAGTCGAGCGTGACTTTCCGGAGTGAATGGGCAAGGCTGCCGGCTAACCGCTCGATGGTTTAATGGGAATCAAATCGTTTTGTTCGAGTTGATCCGCGAAGCACGCGAGTCGATTTAGCGTTGGCCAGAAGACTCGCTACTTAGCCGCTCATTCACCGATCAAATGCTCGGCCTTCGATCATACTTAAGCCTCGCGATGAGTAGAGACCGCTCGCCATGTCGGCTGTTTGCCTTCCCTACCTTCCCCTTGGATTGCCAGGTTCGATCGTCAATTTGATATGCAGCTTCCAATCCACTCCCCACTGGGAAAGTCCTTTCCCCTAACTCTCTAATAATGGACACTTCCCCTACCAATGTTGCTATAAAAATGCCTAGGTGGTCCATAAGTGCACTTCTTTATATACGGTTGGCCCCCTGGTAGGGAGCAACCATTCCGACAAACTACGGCAAAGGTCCCTAGGACGACGGTGAAGCCGGCAGACTCCAGCTTCGGATCCGCGATCCCGTCTATGCGAACACAGTTTTACGGTCCCGTGTAAATCACGGCTGGTCGTGCATAAATGCCGTCCATCTTCCGTGGCAGCTGGGAGGCCTCCGGGCGGTTTTCAATTATCCGACCGGTAAGTCCGTCGTAAACGTTTACTGCAAACCGAAATCCTAGGGCTGGACCATCGGGACGTGGGTTCCTTCGGGAAGGGTAGGTCGGATGGATGGTGCCGCCCCTGGGGAGACGGACATCCAGGACTGGGAGAACGAAGGGGATAAGCTAGAGATGGACGTCCTAGTTTGAGGGGAACGTAAAGCCGCTAAGCGGAACCTTGGGACCAGCGGAAACCGATAAAAGCTCAGAGGAACGTTCCTTCGAGAGTCCCCTTCCGTGATGGTAGAGTGCTGGAGGTAGAAAATGGAAGACCCAGAGCCACTTACCGAATCCCATGCGCACCTCCTCCTCGTCGTCGCTGTCGATGTGTTTGATGCCGGCGACCTCGAAGCTCCTGCAGGAGTCGAGACCTTCGGAAGCGGAGCAGTAGCAGGCCTCGTTCCCACAATCGCAGGTGTCCCCGGCACACTTGCACCCCAGGAGAGGATCATCGGTGTCGATGTTCCTGCAGGCCGGGCAGGGGAAGGTGAGGTCGTCCAGCGACACCCTCTCGATCATCCTCTCGACGGTGACCAGAAGGGTGCCGATGTACCAGGGCAGTTCCTCGTCGTTGACTTCGTCAGGACGAAGATTGCGCAGTCTTTCGCTATGACCAACGTCCTCGTCCCTGGAAGCTGCAGCAGCAGCTTCGGAGGAGGCCTCTGCGGTAGCGTCGTCCAGGTTCAGGGGCGTCTTCAGGTCCCCTGGACCCAGGGACCGGCTCTTCAGCTCGCACCTGGTGGCCTCCTTCCACTTCTCCATGCTCAAAGAGGACACTTTGGCACCTCTGCGCACTTTGCGTCCATCGGTCCAGGAGATGTCCTGGCCCAGGGTGGCTGCATCCCCTTGAGCACCGGATCGGGTATGGGGACGGCAGCGTCGGTCCGGGCATCCGCTCGTTTTCTTCCTCCGGCCGTCGACGCTGCACGTCGACCTGGACTTCTCCACGGGGGTGGCTTCGCCGAACCCCGCGTCGTCCTCCTCCGGGTCCTCCGACCTGGGGGAGTCCCTTCGCTCGCAGCTTCGCCGGCATTCCTGCCTCTCGGTCGACCCTGTCTCGGGATCGACCAACCGATCCTCCCGCACTCTTCGACGAGGACCTCGTCCCGAGGTCCTCTCCGTGCTGGACCCGTCCGAGTAGGCTGGCGGCTTCTGTCGCTCCCGCCAGTCCATGTACTCGTCCTCGCGGTCCCAGCCGAGGATCCCTGGGGACCGCATCGAGGCTCGCCACACCAGGGCTATCTGTAAACGAAAGGAGTAAAGCGTACATCAAGACCATATTCTACGGATGGACCTAAAGAAAAATATCGACGCAATATTTCTGCATGCCCCCGCGAGGAAAGTCCCGCCTTCAACAGGTACCGCTCAGGTGGTACCGAGGTATCCGGAATCACTCATCGGGGTCTGATCGGAACGGCTCCCTGATTCATGGTTGACAAAGGCAACTATCGCCCAGGCCTACACGTAGTGGGAACAAATCATGCCGGCTGACAAGCCCATTTTTAATACGCTTTTAGAACGCGCTCACTCCTTGCAATGAATCGCCGATCGATGGAAGTCGACGTCCTGGCGGTGTACCGCGGGTTGTTACAAGGTACCCTTTATCTAGAGTACCATTACCGTGTACCGAAGGTAGCCGGGATAAAAAATCGACATGCTGATCATTGCTGGCCGGGTATCGGGATTAATGACTCCGGTGATCCCCGCTGCGGGAATTATCGCGGGATAGGCGGAATTTATTGGCTCGTCGATCACCACGCGGCAAGGTGTCGCGCCTTTGAAAAGGTCCCTTCGGTCACTTCCAGAAAGTGCATCTGACTCACCTCGACGGAATTCCGCTCCACCGTCTCACTGGCCGCAGTTGCAGCTGCGTTGCGGACGCACAGGTAACATTCCCCGAGTCTTAGTGCCGAGGCCTCCAGCTCTCCCAGCTGCAGGACCAGCCCGCTACCCCCTAACGTCAGGGGCCATCCTTCCGGTACCACCGACTCGTTGCCCTGGAAAGACAAAGGTTTAAGAGGCTATTAAAAAAAAGGAAATTATTTCCCGAGTTGGGGGTACCGATTCCTTTCAAATCCCACCATGGGAAGCCCTAAAGTAGGTCCGGAAACTCATGAAATATCACTTTTCATTCTACATTCATTTACTTATCATGGACTAGAACCAACATGGCGGGGTCCGGGCACGTTTCCGATGTTATACGCTTCTTGGAGGCTTAGAATAAAATATTAAAGAGTTTCAGAACCTAGCTCGAACAATATAGAAAGGCGCTGAGAACTTAAATCGTGGGATGGGCCATTTGAAACCAGTCATTTTGACTGGTCTTAGAAGTTCTAGTGATAATCGGGGACCCGTCCAGATCGCCATCCTTCACTTTTACACCAGAGCTGGACTCGGCAGCGACTAGGGAATGCCATCTAGGGAACTTTCTCCAAATCGCGAGCTTCTAAATCTCCCTAATGGATCGTTTCCACCGGCCTCTCTCTCCCTCCCCGTTTTGCAACGATAAATCCGATTCCCGGCTTCCCAGGGAATATCAGGCCGACAGATAACCATCTAGACGTCGTACCAGATGAAAAACACTCCCGACATCATTATAACCCTCGCGCAAATGGCGCGGCCGATCATTAACTCCAGTATTCCACCTAAGTGCCGGGACTTTTAGTCCAGTTCCCTGAAACGACCTAGTTCTCGCCGAACCTTTACCAGTCACGTACCCAACGAGAATGACGATTAATGATCGCTAATAGTACTACTGCTCCTATGGCCGCTCGTACAGCCGCCGCAACAAACTACGACCACTACCTACGCTCTTAAAAAATCATTTTATAACATTCTTGATGGAAGTTTCATTCAGTGCAGTATCTTATAAGTTTATGCGCACTGCCTTCCTTCTTCACTAAATGGTGCTGGGGTCTTGTACTGCTGACGGTTCCTTTTTCCTTGCTCTAAGGACCTCAACCAACTTCTTGGGATGTTCGGGTTGGGCACTTGGTGTTCAAGAAAATAGTTAAAAATAGTATGACTCTTCCCAAAGTTCATAGGACCCCGGGCTAGAGTAATACCACACACAGTACGATTCTAGTGTGGTTGGTCGCTGGGGTTCCAGTTGTTCTTGGTGCGTAACGCTGCCATAACCAGCTCGACACGTGCGTAGGTGTCCAGCTCTCCACCTGCACTCTACGACGACGTCGACAAGGGTTCTAGAATGCGGCCGGAATTTAATCGGATCCAAATTGAGTCCCGAGGTGCAAGACAGGCCCGACAACGTCTAAACATGCCCCTGGGCCCGTTGTCCTACGAGATTTCCAATTTGATAATTGAGCCGCACACAGGTGCGCCATGGACAGGACGGGTAGGGACGAGGAGCCTTCGACGATGTTGAATCATCTCGGACATCGGATTACTCGCCCCCGAGTGAGTTGCTGATGTTCCACCCAACTAGGCAGCAACGTGTCTAGTCGGCTTCTTGTTACATGCGTGGGAGTCAGCCTTCCCACCTGTACGGTCCAGCGACATAGAGACGAATTTAAGGGGAAGTGACAACCCCCTTAAATCAGTCGATCTTAAATAACACACTTTTTCTTAAGGGTATTCGATAGAACCGCCTGAAAGTCTGATGACTCGTGAGCATCTAGGAATTATCCTGACACTTTCGAAGTTTGGGTTTTTCAAACAAATTTCCCGATCGATTGTCCCCGTCATCTGTGCTGGGTTAAGGGGAAGTGAAACCCCTTAAATCAGTCGGTTTGGACAAGACACTTTTTTTAAGGGCACTGGATAGAACCGTCTGAAAGTCTGATGACTCGTGGGCATCTAGGAATTATCCTGCCACATCTTTGAAGATCTCCCAGCTCCTCTTTTGTGTTTTGGGAGAATTGCAAACAGCGCGATGTTTGGGTGGCACTGCTCTGGGAATACGATCAAACTGTGTGTGTGTGGGTGGGTGGGTGGGAACGAAGAACGGTTCATTAAAGGCCGCCGATCACGAGGGACGATGAATGAACTTCTGCTTTCATAAGTGAACTTGCGAAAGGTGAAGGCTAGCCGTAGTTTTTCCCCGGGATTGATTAATGGAACGTTGTACTTCGCGGTTTGCGGATAAAGCTATCATTTGCCGATTACACAATCCGCCTGACACTTATGCACTCTAATAATAGGCAATTACATTACGAGGGTCTCGGTTTGGATGAATTTTTCCCTTGACCTTCTCTACCCGGTCGTTCCGCGGTTTCCAACCAGACATTAAGGCCGTCAACGAGTCCTAACCTCTAAATTGATGAGCCCGAACCTCCTGAAATATCATTTATCATCAGAAATGTATTTACTACAAGAGTATTCAAACCGGGATTCCCGCGAAGAAGGGTACACGTCTATGAAATTTCTTAGCGCCTTTCATATCCCCTTAAGGGAGCTGGCCTGTTGTGAAAATCTGTCCAGGAGTCGCATTCGAATGCAGGGAAGGTCTCGGAGCTGAACTCCATGAAAAAAATCATCCAATGTGGTGGGGTGGCTTTTTATTCGGCGGAAGTGGCCAGGGATCCAACCGGCGCTGCGATTGCGCGATCTAGGATCGCTCGTAGGAGCGGAATGATCGATCTTCCTCATAGATCGCGGTGGGTCGCTACTCGACAAAGCTGGTCTCGTCGGACGTGTTTTTTGCCATGATGGGGGAAACGCGATAAATGATCCAGTGATCGATCGCGGCCGATCCGAGGAAGGAAACGTGCTGGTAATTCGACGACTCCTCTTCTGAGTGGAACTTTGAACACGGAGCCATTTCGACATATAGGCGAAATTCCCCTGACCGTGCTGGGGATATTGGGCCAAACGTCGCTCTTAGTAGTCAAAGGGTTAAGGCGAAGTGAAAGACGTTTTATCAATACTTTTACGCTTTATTTGTATGGAATGACCATTTCATATCACCTTAACCCTTTGAACAAGGAGCTAAGAGGTTTAATACACAAAGTGTAGAATTGCTATACGGCGATATTGGGTCAAAATGACTGGATTTCCGTTTAAGGGTTAAGGAGGAATCCCGCGGGAGATGTCGCGATGTCTCTCTCGAGCCATCTCTCGCAAAACTGGGCGGACCGGCGCGTTTTTCTTGGACGGAACTTCCGGCGAACGCGGAAAGCAGTCCAGAGGCTGGAACCTGGCCCAGATTCCAGATCAAGATCGAGACGAGAGGTAATCTTGGGACTTGGCGAGAAAAGGTGGACTGCGATACAAATTGTTGTAAATAAAATAGGAAAGATTAAAAAAGGAAGACGTAGCGTCCTGGCAGCCTTCGATGACGCCACGACGTCAAGAAAGTCCTAGGATTGAAAGAGTCGAGGATGGACAGGGAGAAGAGGTCTTGGGGATCTTGGGTCCTGGTGAGAAAAGACGGATTGGGATACTAATTGTTATAAATAAAATAGAAAACAATTAAAAGAAGAAAGACGTAGCGTCCTGGGAGCCTTCGATGACGCCACGACGTCGAGAAAGTCCTAAGGATTTAAAAAGTCGAGGATGAACAGGGAGAAGAGGTCTTGGGGATCTTGGGTCCTGGTGAGAAAAGACGGATTGGGATACTAATTGTTATAAATAAAATAGAAAACAATGAAAAAAAGAAAGATGTAGCGTCCTGGCAGCCTGCAATGACGCCACGACGTCGAGAAAGTCCTAAGGATTGAAAGAGTCGAGGATGAACAGGGATGAAGAGGTCGAAGGACTGTCGTGATTTGCATACGTTGAGCAAAAACTGTTGACGTTGGTCTCAGAGACCTTGTAGAATCTGCCAAGAATCGCTTTCCCGTCGTCCAAGTGGACGCGGGACGGCAGAGAATCCCGTGTCGAATCCCAGGAAGAAGGAGGGAGCAGTGGAAAGGACCAGGAACCGATCCCAGATACGGAAGGAAAGTGAAATCCCCGAGATCTCTAGCCTGAAAGACACCACCCAGAGGAGCGCGAAGGTTTTCGACTATCGCGAAATTTCATCGGCGGCGTCGAATGTCGCGCCGCCTCGCAGGAACTGATCGACCAGGACAACGTCACGACATTTATGATGAATGCGATAGGCAGGCACCATGGCGTCTCATTAGCAGTCGAGACCATGTTCTTGAGAGACTACCGTGGCGATTTCCGAAGATCTATCTGCACTCCCACTGGAGATTTCCCTGCACCGTGAAAAATGCCCGGCACCCGAGGACTCCCCCACCCTGGGCGAAGATATTGCTTTCTAGGTGGGATGAATTACTCGCGCCCATCGATACTTTTTTATTTTTTATCGAGAGGCTCGCCCGTTAGCCGATCGCGATCGATAGGCAGCTATGCGATTGGCCCCGGGTGCAGAAACGTGGTCGAGTCCTGGGGATTGGATCCGGTCGATGGGCCAATGCCGATCGCAGTGCGCCAACCCGATGAAAGTCCGTAGAACGATCGCGATCGCCACCCCACAAGAGGAATGGAGAGATCGATCGGCGATCGATCCCTCGCAACGCAGGCCACGACTCGGGGAATTAATCGGCATGACATCGGAGCTTCTTGATCTTGAGCTCGGCCTATCTTCCCTCCGTCGGAGAGAGAACCGTTTCGAAATTCCGGTTGCAAGGCTAGCTATCGTTTACCTAAATCTGCCGCGAGCAGCGATCGGCACGTCCCGACTGACAAGGGGTTCCGATCGGTATCGAACTGCGTTTGCAGGCAACTCGCGAACTCCAGGGTTCTCGCTGTGAATCGTGTCGACGTCGACGGTTCCTCGGATCCTCCCTTCTATCGTCTACGGGAGATGTTTTAAGGGGACGTGAAAGTGGCGTCGAGGCGAGCTCCCACGAGGCATGCGCACTTTGCGCCCGACAATGGCGGGAGGGTGCCGCAACAACTCGTTTAAAATGCAGATTAGGCCGCTGTCTTTGACGCGCGTTACTTTGTGCGGCCGCATGGGTGCAGAGAGGTTATGCACGCCTAAACCTCGAACGTGTAGGCACGCGGCCCTCGGACAATGGGAACGGCA